AACCTCTCCATACCTTTTGCAGATTTTATAAAGGCAGGGAGTCTAGTTTTGCACAGGGTAGACCTGAGGAGTTGATGTAAGTCTGGTATAATCCTTAGAAGGCAAGGTACATGTTGTGTTTCTTGCTTATTGAGTTAGCAGGGCACATTGGAGGAGCCAGCAGTAAACGTAAGAAGCAGCTCTTTGGGGCCCTTCAGCAACACTGTCTTCTGGGATAAGTTAGTTGTTCTTGTAACTCAGCCCATGCATATGCTCTTGAGCAAAGGGAGGTACATGCTGAGTGATTATTTGGGACGATTACGGACCAACAGAGCTCCCACCAGAGCTCTTTGTCAGCTCAAGATACAGACTGAGACTAAGAAGAAAAACTGCCACTACCATTACAGCATTTCCAAGGGCACAGCTGTTTGTTAGCTGCCTTTGTGCTGCAAATGAGGCTGCCGTCAACAGATGTGTGAGTGGCCAGCAGGCTGACATTTCCTCTTGGTAGAAGGGATTGTCACCTTTTTTAAAAAAACTTCATTATGACACATGAGGTGAGAATTTAGGTCTTTATGCAACTCAAATGGCTGATAGCAATGAGCACACTACACAGCTGGGAGAATGTGGCTTTCACTGCCATTGTGAATAGTTCAGTTGTACCATGTGCATGGACTCATATTGATCACAGTAAAAAAGACTGAACACTGTAGAATTTGCCCAAGAGTAGCTGCAGTAACACATGTAGTCAATTCTTCTGTAATTAAAAGATGAGATCTTCACAGTGGCCAAATCCCTAGTCTGTACGCAACGTATATTCACTAAGAATGACTGTACTTCCTCTGAAATCCCCTCATAATTCATATGTAAGGTTTTTGTTTGGAGGTTTCTGTTAAAATGGATAATTTATGATACCTGTGTTGGAAAATTCCTCCTCCTTCCATTAAAGCACTTGAGTGTTGGCTTGTGATCACACAGCACCCTCTTGTAGCAATAGTGGTTACCCCCTTGCCTTCTTTGTTAGACTGCAGTGCTGCATAAAGGAATACGTGTCAGAGGATACTAACAGCCAATGCTCCCTCTAAGTCTTGTGAGGAAAAAATCTACTTTGTGAGCTACTGGCGTTAAAGTTGTGAGCAAGCCATTTGGCTACTGCATCAATTAGTTTGCTCTGGAGCCATCCTTCCTGAGCGAAAACAAAAATCTGTGAGCTGGAGGCTAAAAAACTGTGAGCTAGCTCACACTAACTCAGCTTAGAGGGAACACTGGGGAATATGAACCTGTTCCCACTGGAAATGCAGCTTCCAATGACCCCATCTGCCAGTCTCGAGGTTCATTCTATGAACTAGTTAAATTTTTCCCTTCCTCAGAACAGCATGCTTCGACTATTGTGATTCAATACGATTAGGCTGTATTGCCTACCTTCATTGCAAAGATATAGGATGGAGGTAAGATATTCTTCCCCCTTCCTTCATTTTTCACAAACCACTTTGATCTTTTCATTCCATTTCTCACTCTATTGTTTGGCCTCTGTCTGGACTACTAATTTCCTACAGAGAAATCTTTTGAGAAATTAGTGGAGCCATTATTACTTGGTTGGATATAGAATTACATCTTTAGAGAACAGAAATAAGGGCAACATCAATGCCTCAGCAATGGGGACTTACCAGAAAGACATTCAATAAGGAAGCCTTTGAAATGGAAACCATTTTAATGCCAATAAAATTGTTTCCTAGAAACATAATTAGTCTTACCAATTTCTCTACATTCTTTATCATTGTTTACTACCCCACATTTCCACCATGTCATTTTATTTCTAGAACTATCTTGAGTCCTATTTTGATCAGGATGATCACTCGGCTCATTAATTTTATGCTGCCATTTTGTTAAAGAGCTGCAGCTTTGTCTTTCTGTCAGTTGGCCTACGAATCACAGCCAAACTTTAACTATATAAAAGCAGCTTGTAGTGCAAGTCATAAAGGGGGGGGGGGATGGAGGAACTGGCACCTGAAGCCACCCTGGCCTTTCATGGTCTACAGAGGAAGGTGAGACAATACCATGATCCCACCAAACTGGTGAAGCCAAGGTGGTGCTTCTGTTCCTTGGCAGCTGTTGTCTTGGGCTGAACAGGTGCTGGCTGTAGGTACAGACCTGCCTATCTGGCCAGCGTGCCTCCTATGTAGAACGCGGATTCAGGACAGCCGTCTTAGCTTCTTTTGTTCTTGATATTCATTTAATTTTTGTTGAAAATACCCTGTGGAAGAGAAAAGAACTTGTTACTACACCCTGCATTTATATTTTCTGGTAGACAGCATTGCTAGCTATTTTAAAGTAGAAGTGTTCACTACACCCTGCATTTATATTTTCTGGTAGAGAGCATTGCTACCGTAGCTATTTTAAAGTAGAAGTGTTCGTTCTGGGTGGAATAGCAGTGAGTTAACGGTGCAGTACACTCACGCTACCACATAACGGAGGCGTGGGAGCTAGCCAAGTTCAAAGGACAGGGAGCTCTGGGGCCTTACAGGATGCTGTGGTTTTTACGCCATGTGCTGCAGGAGATTCACATGTTGCAAGCAATGGGTTAGATCTAGCCAACAAATTAGCTCAGTCTTGCCCAAGTAGCATAAGCTTTTGGCTGGCTAAAAACTCTCTCTTCCCTTTTCCATCTGCCGAAAAGCTGGCTGATTCCAACCCAATATGCATTTGGCCAGCATTACTTTCTCACTAGGAAATGCAACTTCTTTCCCCCAGCACCACCTCAGCTAGCTTGGCAATTGTGACTGCTAGTGATGTGTGGTCAATAGTCGTGCGCTAATCATAATTTCCAGTAAGGTCACCACAACTCCTCATGGCTGTGTTTTTATATGACCTTTGTTCTGTTGCGTTCCGCATTGTTTTCAGAGGCTGAGCATGCTCATGTCAATCCATTCAAGCAAGGGAGTTCATGCAAACCACATCCTTGCAACCTCCCCCTCCGCCACAGCAGTGTAGTCACTAATATAGAAGAAGGGTTAAGTGCAGCGACTGGAACAGCAGGGCTCATATCTTTGCTCATCTGTGAACTAACTAGGTGGCTTTTTAGACAAGCAACTACCTTTCAACCTCAGACCCTGAAATGTCAAATGGAAATGCTGCTCTTGTAAAAACTGCTGCAATAAATACAGATGAAGTGCCTTCAGTGCTTAGCATTTATACAGTGTTTTTCCTCTGGTGTCCCACAATTTCATGGGATTGTTTTGAAGAGCCTTTTGTTCAGCTCTTTGAAAGTGATATGTACCAGAGCATGCACCTCTCCTGATTTTAGTAAAAAACAGCAAGCAAGTGCATTTGTCCCTATGCGATAAGGCCATTCCCTGGCAGATGCCATCCAGTAGGGTAGGGAGCCTATGCTACTTGGCAGTACTGACTAGTGTGAATAAGGAACTAAGAAAAACAAAACCAATTTATTTCTAATCATCTGGAAAGACTTAGATCAACACACAATCTCCCAGTCCCTGGGGGATTTCAATGCCAAAGAGAATGGACAGGCACAGTAAAACCTTCGTCCCTGAAGATAGCTAGTGACAATGAGAGAACAGCCTCATTTGCATCAACAATGACAGTCGACGGTCTTTCAGCTAGGAGGAGAATAAGAAGTAATGTGCAAGGGAGCTAGGTCAACGCTACTTGATCCAGACCGAAGAAGAATCTTCTCTTTTTCTCAGCAGGTGAGCCAGAGCTAAACTTACCAACTTAAATCACAGTGGTTTAGACCCTAAGTCAAAAGGCAGTGGAAAACTGTAATTAGGTAGAAGCAGAGAATCAAACATGCCAATGTATGTCTGGTATACCCAGTAATGGTTATATGTGGGAAGTCAGGCTTAAACCAATCCCCATGCACACAAGGTAGACCTGTTTCCCCTTAGGGACTGCCTGCACCCACATGAACCTACCTGGCCACTCCTGTCATCTTCCGGGGCCCTGGTTTGGTTGTCCTTTGCCATCTGAGGCTAAACAGGTGGCAACTCAGAAAAAGGGCTTTCTCAGTTGCAGCACCAAAAACTTTGGAACGCCCTCCCTAGGGAGATTCATCTATTGCCCTTATTGTTGTCTTTGGTTGAGGGTGGAGACATGTTTTGTTTTGTTTAGCATACCCCTCCAATAAATGTTATTGGCCCTCCTCCCTGGCTGTGGTGTTGTGTGTGTTTGTATGTTTTTACTGAATTGTTTATATACACTTTATTTTTAAATGCCTTTTAAATGTTGAAATAGTTTGATGTTCACCACCTCGGGGATGCCTATTTTGGGGGAAAGGCAGCATAGAAATGTTTTAAATAAAATAAATCAGCATTTCTCAAACTAAGATCATGGCATCCAGCCCCATCACTCCTTGGCATACAGAAGGAGAAGTTATGGAAGCAGTGACAGACTTCACGTTCCTGGGATCCAAGATTACTGCAGATGGTGACTGCAGTCATGAAATTAAAAGACGCCTGCTCCTTAGGAGGAAAGTGATGGCAAACCTTGACAGCATAATAAAAAGTAGAGACATCACCCTGCCAACAAAAGTCCGTATGGTCAAAGCAATAGTATTCCCAGTAGTACTGTATGGCTGCGAGAGTTGGACTATAAGGAAGGCCGAGCGCCGAAGAATAGATTCTTTTGAATTATGGTGCTGGAGAAGACTCTTGAGAGTCCCCTGGACTGCAAGAAGATCAAATCAGTCAATCCTAAAAGAAATCAACCCTGACTGTTCCCTGGAAGGTCAGATACTGAAGCTGAAGCTCAAATACTTTGGCCACCAAATGAGAAGGGAGCACTCACTGGAGAAGACCCTGATGCTGGGAAAGATTGAAGGTCAAAGAAGACGGGGACAGCAAAGGATGAGATGGTTAGACAGTGTTATTAAGGCAACGAACATGAAATTAAGCAAACTCCGGAGCATGACGGAAGACAGGAGGGCCTGGCGTGATGTGGTCCATGGGGTCGCGAAGAGTCGGACTCAACTGTGCGACTGAACAACAACAACAAAGAACATACATAAATGCCTCGTTACTCCATCAAAATGCAGAGCATTTCTAAGGTTGCACCACACAACGGGTTGCTGCAGAGTGCAGACATTCTGATTTTTCTACACAAAAAGCTCTTCCGTATTGGAAGATGCATGGGAGCAGCATGTGGATCTTCACATTTGATGATAATCACGAGTGCTCCTCTCTGCACCTGCACACACTTGGAAACTGCAGCTGGCCACAGTCACCAGCACATGTCTGCTGAAGTACAGTGAAAACACATCTGCCATTAGCACATGGGTAATGCAACTGAACATAAGGCTGGGTCCAGCCAGTTTTTCTGCTCAGTCTTACCCAATCCTACACATTACTACAGCTCCCCTTTTGGGCGGTTCTCCTCCCTTCTTTACCATGTAAAAAGCTGGTTGGATGTAACCCATATATTCCGTAAACAAACGTGTTTTCCAAATAAATAAAAATTTAATGCCTGACACAACCCCTGTAGAAATCCTCTGTTATGTGAGCGACTGATAGGCCTGGATCTGCACAAGGAAGAATAATGGCACATTGTCATCACAGCAGGGGCAGAGTTTACCTTCTACACACTTTCTGCTCCTTTCTGCTTCCTGAATAAATAATGAGAACATCTGTGTCTTCACAAATCTCTTCAGAAACCTGCGGCAGGTCTTGGAGGTGGGGGCTTTGCAGAACGACTTCTCCTGGAAGCTGCCCTGACCACTTCTGTTCCATTTGATGTGCGCTGGGTAGTGGCCAATGGTTTTGACAAAGAACTGCACAAAAGTCTCTGAAACGCGTACATTGAATTCCTCAGAGGCTGGAAAGAAGAAAAGAGGCAAGTTTAACATTCAATTGCAGGAGAAATTTAGTCCCCTCCAAACTGTCAAATTCCTGTATCTTAACCACACTAACTTTTCTCCAGCTTACTAATAGCAAATTCTCTAACTCACATTTGCTTGGGGGCATCTGATTTAAAATCACCCTACCTGATAGAACCCAGTGAACTGTTTGTCGGCAAAGGATTTTGATAGATGGAGTGGTTTTTCTGGATACCACTGGAGCCATTTTCTTGGTTACTGCATGCAGAAAGTCAGCCCATTCAGTGAATCCTTGTACATATATGGATCATTGCATGGGGAAAGCAGCCCACATGGCATGATTTCATTAATTTTCTAAGTGGTGACCATTTCATATATTTATAAATGTTTGCAAGGAAACATAACTGACTCGTCTTGACTGGATCCCCCCCCCACACACACACACACCAGAGTTCTCAGACAGTAATCTTTCATGGGGATTGTGGGGAACTAATGTGAAAAAAGTCTGACAGCACCTTTAATCAAAGAGCTTTAAAAACTCTGCCTATGCATTCATTAATTAAGACATGTTTACAGCTTATATTCATATAGGCAGTGTAGGGTATTAGCTATTCAACAGACTGTGGTGTCCTTGAGATACAAAATCCAATTTCCTGAGATTAAATGGTAAAGAGGCTATAACATATGCAAGCATATGGCTCCAGAAAGAAGCTGCCTACTTTGCTAGCTTGCAATGGATCTACAGTAGTAGATGTAAAAAACAAAACATCCAAATGTCACAAATATGAGGTCCTCTGGGTGGGTGGTCCATCACTGCTGGCTTCCATAAGGGAACATAACAAATGGCTGAAATAACAACAACAACAACACCTTAATATAATAGTTGGGAAATTTATTTGGCAAAGAAATAAACCAAGGATAAGTTTGAAAAACTTACAAAGACCAAAAGAACATGGAGGTTTTGCATTGCCAAATTAGCAGGTATACTATCTTGCGGCCTCAATGGAATGGATAAAAGATTGGGTTAAATTAGAAAATACCAGAGTATTAGCGTTGGAAGGTGCTGATCTAGCAATGGGTTGGCACGCATATCTTTGGTATGGAAAGGATAAAATCCATTCAAATTTCCATACAAACATAATTAGAAAAGCATTAATTAAAGTCTGGAATCTGATAAAGAAAAATAACTATAAAAAACTACCACTATGGCTTTCTCCGTTGGAGGCATTTATTTTGCCGTCATTAACAACGGATAGGAACAAAGTAACATATGGTAACTTACTAACAAAAGAATTAGAATTAAATTCGGATGATTCACTCGCAAAACAGGATATAGTATTGTCCTGGTGGGATAAAAATATAATCCACACTAACTATCATAAGGATAAAAAAATAGGACCCAAATTCCAATTTCATACAGCATTTAAAGCAATAATAGCTCTCGAATAAAAACTGTTTTTTAATCTGTTCGTCCTTGTTTTAATTGTTCTATATCTTCTACCCGAAGGCAGCAGTTTAAACAGGGAGTGTTCAGGGTGTGACAAATCCTGCAGAATGTCCTTTGCTTTTTTCAAGCATCAAGAACTATACAATTCCTCCAGGAAATGGATCCCAACTAGATTGGCTCAGAAACCAGAAGGTCTGAGGGGGTTATGGACTCCAAAAACCCATCCCCCTACACTTTGGGGATTCTCTGCATCATTAAATGCAACACTGTATAGTGCTTCCTGTTGGCTAAGATGCTCCTGCAGTCTTCTTATGGGCTTCCTAGAGGTAGCTGTTTGGCCACTGTGTGAACAAAATGCTGGACTAGATGGGCCTTCAGTCTGACCCAGCAGACTGTTTTTTAACCCTAAATGGAAAATATCAGGGGAAAGGGGCATTCATATGCCTTTTATACTACCTTATACTTCGCCAGTGTTCCACCCACAGATGGACTGTGAGGAATTCCATAAGATTAGCTCACTGGATTCAAGATCACCTAGCCCAGGGTGGGTGACATGTTTTTAAAACAAGCTGCAGCCAAGTTGACTACAGGCAATTGAAGACCATGCCAGCATTTTGTATTCCTGATTTACCATTTATGTGCTACAGCAGGTGCAGAGTAATATGCTCTTGAGCAAGAATGACATGACAGAAGGGAAGGCCTGTATTGACAGCGTTGTTGTAGTCCGATGGGCTAAGCCTGACACAGACCCACCATCTCCCCCATCTGCGACACCCTTAGAACAAGAATCTCCCTTCTTACCTCATCTGCCCAAGGAACACCAGTCTGAACCCTTACCTTCATTGCATATATAACTTGTAAAAAGAGCCTTATTTTCCATGTACACAGAGAGGGGGCAATCAGAAGGTTGTGCTTACTCATTATGTTGTTGCTCACTGTTGGAAGAGAGGCCAGCATCTCACTCTGTAGCTTGCCAGGCAAGATCTCGTCTTCATCACCAACCTACAGAATTATTAATGGGGAGGTTATGTGGAGGGAAAACAGCCTTTGGGGCAAGAAGGTGTGCTGGACATGGGAGTGTATATAAGAGGGGGATCGTGCTTAAAGGCCCATTTTCTGACTGCCCCTTCTGGTCTAATGGGAAGAAACATGGCTCACAACCAGGTCTCCCAGGACACATTCCGTAGTGCTTTCAGACAAATCTGCCATCTGGATTACTGATCACTCTGGAGCTCATTAGCCATTGTGCAAGCCCATTAACCATCCCCTGATACAACAAGGAGCACTAAGAAGGCAGTTACTCTAAGGAGGAAGGGAACCCGGTCTCGTATGGAGAGATCAAGAGACAGGCGATGCATACAACAACCTGAGAGATGACTCTGCAGTCAAATCCTGCTGTTGCATCCTGGCAAAGGATGGTCTAACCAATGCTCCCTCTAAGCTGTGGAGTCTTGTGAGCAAAAATTCTACTTTGTGGGCTGCTGGCATTAAAGTTGTGAGCGAGTGATTTGGCTGCTGCATAAATTAGTTTGCTCCGGAGCCCTCCTTACTGAGCTAAGACAAAAATTCGTGAGTCACCAGGTCAGCTAAACTGTGGTGCTCACACTAACTCAGCTTAGAGGGAACACTGGGCCTAACCAAATACATATTTCAAAAGGTAGCATAGTGAAAGCTAGGGCTGCAAGCTTCAGTTTATTAACCAGGTCAGCTAAACTGTGGATGCAGATTAAAATCCCTGCCTACAATCCATTTGAGCAGCTGACTACCAGAGGAAGATTCTGGGATTATGGAGCAGCCACTAGGCAAGACACCTAAACTGTCCTGACTCCCACCCTCACTGTACTAAACTTCAAACATGGCTTTTCCCTCTGGTCTGCACAGAAAACTGGACTGGGCTAACAGAAAGAGGGGTCAGCAAAGTGTCCTCTTTGTTCAGGAGTCTCAAAAAGGCACCTTCACCAACGTTTTGCTATGTGGGCATTTTAAAAAAATGTAACCGATTGATCGATTTATTGCTTCCTTGAAATCTATAGTGTTAGGAAAGTCTTGACTAAAATCAGATTAGGAAAGAGGTTCCCCCCCCCCATCTACCATCAACAGGAAACCATAATGGATTTTGTGACTGTGATACAGATTTCTGTTGTTCAACATGCTGTATTTGTGGATCATCCCTGTACTGCTGAGAATGCAGCAGGACATGCTTTTGCTGAGTTCTGTGTGCTCGCCTCTGTTTGATCCTCACAAAAACCCTGCAGTGCAGTTAAGGCTGAGAGTGTGTGACTGGCCCAAGGTCACCCAGTGAGCTTACATGACAGAGTTGGGATTTGAACCTGGGTCTCCCAAGATTCTAATTCTAACCACTACATACACTGGTTCTCTTAAACAGTTAGGAACCAGGGAGGGAGTTCTATGAACAGGTGGCTGCAAGGGAGAATGAACAGCCATTTTATAAAGGAAGACATCTTTGAGAGACTGAAGGCAGCAGAGTTAAAGGACCAAATGGCAGGATATAATTGTACCCAAGGGCTGAAAAACAGCGAGGCCAGGCTGGAGAGAGTTTTAGCAGTAGAGACAAGGGAGTTTGTCCTGGATAGAGAAGGGGCTGCGAAGCCAGTGAAGGAGTGGCATCCCATAATCTGAGTGATGGGAGTGGTGAATGGTTTTGGTAGCGGAGTTTTGGATAGAGAAGGGAGGACTGAGGTGTGACAGAGGAAGGCAGAAACGATTGCAAGGCAGGAGACAACCCATGCATGAACTAGATTTTCAGCTACGGCAACAGAAAGAATGGGCAGATCTTTGCGATGGTGAACAGGGTAAAACAACATGAGTGGTCAAAAACTGAATGTGGGAACAAAGGGAACAGAAGACCCAAAGATTGTGTACCTCAGCAACAAGGTGGATAGTTATGTTGTCTATGAAGAGCAGCTGACAAACTGAGAGGAAAGATCAGGTTGGGGCATGTGGAATTTGAGACGGTGAAGAAACATCCAAATGAATATAGCAGGCAGGTTTGCAGCAATTTCACTGGACAGAGGAAGAGAAGCCTGAGATTAAAACCATATTTATTTATCCACTTATTTATCCATACCTCTCAAATTACCTCTCAATATCAAAATGTCTTATAGTTTCAGTATCAGTATAATGCATAGTAGTATTTAATATCTCCCGCTATACAACACTTCAGTAGCTGGAGACACTAAATACCAAGAAGGCTTGTGATTATGTGTGTTGTATTTTGGCATTAGTTTACAGATGAGGAGCAGTGCCACCTTTGAAAAAGAGAGCAATCATGGAACAGAAAGGAGCTAGTGAATCCGTCAGGCTAGAATTGAGCTTGTAAATATACAAAGCCTAATTGTTGAACTATCTCATTTGGAAAGCTCGTATACAGGGACTCCGGGGATTTAAATTGCAACAGATATTCAGCATCGTGCAGAGAATGAGATACAACTTTACTGCTGTCTGAAATGTTTTCAAGCAACTAGCTGAAACTGAGATAAACAGAGACCTTGGGAACTTAAGTTACAACATATATTCATCATTGCGGTGAGAATGAAATGTAACCCTATTGCTGTTTGAAATGGATGGTAAATGGATGGTTTATGCTACAAGTGGAATGCATTATATTGATACTGAAACTATAAGACATTTGATATTGTATGTACTTTGAGAGTTAATTTTTAAATGGTGGATAAATAAATGTGGTTTTAATATTCTTTAGTAATTTTCACGGAAATGTTCCATTATATTACATGTCTATATACCCATGATTCTCTGGCATACTGTGTGATATATCCGCTGCACTTCAGGCACAACTGTGTTTAATTGTGGCCATGTTGTTGGAGGCATGGAAAAGAGGGATAGGAACAGCAAGATTGCAATGCATAAAGCTGAGTTGATCACTAAAGTAAGAGATAAAGCACTAGTCAGAAAAGCAGAGTTCTAAGCAATAGAGAGGTGAAGGGGCAGGCTTTGGTACAGCATCATTGCCTGGAAATGTCCACCAAAGTCCTGCAGCTGGCAATAAGATGGAATTATACTTACCAATTTCAAGAACTTGCCTTCACACAGATCCACAAGTAGCACCTAAAAGAGCAAAAACATCCATCTTTATCCATCCAGCATTGCTCTAAGGACTAGCAAAACAGAGAAAGCAGCAGCATGTTCAAAAGTGGGTGAGGAAGGGGAGGAATCAAAGAGGGAAGAGAACTCTGGAACATCTCACATTAGAAGACATTGATTCCACCCAAGTGTGGGTACAGTGTTTGTCCACATTCTGCAGTAATATGCACTTGAAGTAGATTTAAGGTTTTTTTTAATGAATTAGATGTTGCCTTTTAAGGTTGTTTTACAATGTAAGTTGTCTTAAAGAGTCAAGCAAGTTGATAGTATATAAAAGGAGTGGCTGGTTAAATAAATAAATATTTACTCATCAGCTGCAATGAATATACTGAGAGCATCTAGTGGTGCCACTGAAGTTGTTTGGCTGGTGCAATATACAGTGATTTAATCAAGGGCCAATGTTTATGCCAAACCTTCAGGAATGCATGAAGCTGTCTATGAAGCCGATGATGGTCATGGTCATTCCTCTGCAAATGGAAAGATTACCTATGAGATTAATCCCCAATGTGGTGCCCATGGGTACTACTGTGGCTGATGCATTTCCTCTTGCCCACTGCATTTTTTTCCAAAACAACTCTTCTCCATATTACACAGCCAATCCTGGCTTTCTTCCATCTCACTTGGAAGAGGAGATGCCTCAGAAGATCCCAAGAGGAATCATCTTCATGTCTGCCTGATGCACCTAGCAACTACTTCCATCACAAGATGACACTTGGCTTGGAATCTCCCAACCTTCTGTCACTGGCCCCATGGCAGCCATTTTGTGGTGAGCTGTGTCCCACATGGAAGCCATTTTGTCTTGGCACCCATAATCTATACTCAAACTGCAGAAGTGTTCACAGATTCAACAAGGTTAGGAAAAACTGGGATAGGGTGGAATCACAAATGCCAATCCTAGATGCTGCCTCCAAAGACACCTTAACATTTTGCTCTCTCGTCCACTCAAAAGACACACAAGATAAAGACAGCACCTCTTCCATGGGTTGATCCAGGACCTCTTCCAGGTAGCGCTTTTGGATGCCAACCATGAAAGGCGTGGGGCAACAGACAGTGCTCAAGAGCTGCTCCGGAACCACTGGGATGTATGTATGGGCCCATGTAAAGGGATAAAGAAGAGCAGCTGCTGCATGGATACACTTGGAGAGGGAGCTGAAAGGAAAATACAGTACTGAACAGGAAGACACAGAAAGGTAGGGTGCATATCTGAATATTCAGTAGTATGTGGTGCATTCACAGAATACCCAGTGGATCTTTATTATCTTGTTATTTAAATATATTGGCTGCTCAGTCTTAAGGGCTGGAAAAGGTTAGAATGTCATTACTGATTTCAAATAAAAAAAGCTTCCCCTTGAGATCCAGCATGGCGTAGTGTTTGGAGTGTCAGACGAGGACCTTGGAGACCCAGCTTCAGACCTCTACTCTGCTGCTATGGAAGCTTGTTGAGTGACTTCCAGCCAGCTACTCTCTCAGCATAACCTACCTCACAGGGTTGTTGTGAGCCAAGAACATTGTTGTAAGCTGATTTATATCCCCATCTCAGACATTTTTACTAGTCTAGTTCCTAAATCCAGACTCAAATTAAAAAAGAAAATCACAAATAGTTTCAGACTCAAATCTGTCTTGCAAAAAATTAGGATTGTGGTTTACAACCTGGAGAACCTTCCTGTGTCTAATTTCTCAACTGGAGCTGAAGTCACAGCTTCTTCTGTTTATCTGCCCTGGGCCCTGTCACCCCCTCCCCTTCATTTTTTGTTTGATCCAGCAAGCAGG